ATATATATTTGATTTAAACCGTGGCGTACTTTTCGATATACATAAGTCCTTTTTGGCATTTATTGGATACTAAGTGATCATATGCATGCGATTACCTCGCTTGACGCAAGCTAAAGCTTCGACGATCAGCTTTTGGTTGACGCCGCATAAATTGGCCATTAAATGCTCGCATTTCTTATGGCAGTTTACGTCGCACTCTGCAGCCGTTCATCGATGTTTGGTTTTAGATTAAATGCATATATATATTATGTATATGTATGTATGTATGTACGTGGGAACATCGATCGATGTTGTTGATGTTTAAAAAAAATAAAAAAATAAAATTTGTAATTATATCTTACTTGATATGATGTTTTATATGTACATATGTATGTATGTATGTGAAATGGTTGTATATGTATGTATGTGTATGAACGATAATGAAATGGGATTGGCGAAACTTTGGCACACGAAAGAGTTTAGACATTTGGATTTTTAATAAAGTTTAGGGGATCATCCTTAAAGTGAAAGGTAAAATATCGTATACACAGTGTCTATAGGAGGAGCAACAAACCTAAACACCTGCACCCAGAATGTACTGGAGATATCATGATTTGTCGCGGATTTCAAAGTTTGAGTATGTACACTAGGCATCAAATGAAAGTATACATTTCACAGTAGTTTTTTCTGTGCAGATTTATCATACTTATGTACTTATGTACTTATGTACTTATGTAAAGACATAAAGGTTTATTTTTTCCAGAAATCGGGCAAAAAATATTAGTTTTTCAATTCCCTTGATGAAATTTCAGGGCTCTATGCAACTTTTCTTTTCATAAGGAGCTCTACGCGTATCGAAATTTTGGGTTTGGACCTCCTCCGTACTAAGTCTTGCATCCCTTTTCAGCTCAAATCAGTTTAAGCTTTTGTGGTAAATTTGTTTTGAGCTACAAAATACCAAAAGGCAGCTGCGCAAACTTGGAGTCATTTTTCTTAGAGATTCCATCGGAACTGTTAGAAACTTGCTGCGATGTTTGGCGCAAAGTCTTCGAGTAGTATTTTAAAGCAAAGCTGGAAATACCAATTACTAAATTTAGTTATAAAGCGGAGTTATTTGTTTGTTTTGCGAGTTTATACTTTCATTTGACGCCTTTGGTTTTAGACTCCTTATTTTTAAATTAAAAACAGAAATATTTTTTTTGGCCGATTTCTGAGAAATATAATACCGTATGAACTAATTCTTATTTATTTTAATAAATCTGCACAGAAATAATAACTGTGAAATTTATAGTTTCGTACAGGGACCGTAATAGTTACCACTTTTATTAAAAAAAATGCTATTTAACAATTATTTTTCGTCTTTTATTTAAATACTTCTTAAATAACCGTTATTTTTGAATTTTATTTTATAAAAACCAAAATAACAATTATTTATGATTTTTATCTAAATAATTGCAAATAACAGTTGATTGGTTTTTGATTTTTAAAATCAGTCGTAGTAAACTTTTGTTTCCCCGACACCTTCTTAACAGCAAAATATATTAATGACTTTTATATGAATGATTTAAAAAATAAAAGTCGGTGACTGATTTATATTGATGACTTTTAAAGTAAAAGTCACTGACTAATTTTTATTGAATAATTTAATACAATAACTGTTATCGAAGAAAATTAATATAAAAATAAAAAATAATTGTTATTTATCGTAATTTTGCATAAAAATTGCAAATAAAAATTTATTTTCAAATCTGTGTCTCGGTGAAAAGAGAAATCGATTGGCATGTATCACTTAGTTGTAGAACATTTCCTTCATAGTGAATTTTTCCATGACAGTTTTCATCAATAACTGTTATGTTCGGTCCCTGGTTCCGTATGAATGATGTGTAGTGTATACATATACAAGTATTAAACGATTTTTGAAGTACAAGCTTCGTGTTATTTCAAACAAGCAGCAAAAGAACATTCAACTCGGGTAAAATTTCCTTTTAGCTGATTCAGCAACCATGTTGGTATCTGGCATGAAACATGTGATTATTTAAAGGGGTTTATTTTTTAACCGGCCTCTCTGAACTCGGATGAATAGCCGAATTTGTGTTGTTGCTTTGCAAGTATTTCGTTACTTTACTGAGTGTTATTTTATAGCTCGGTCGCAAAAGAATGCACCTATAATAAGTAGTTCCTCAGATGGAGCAAACCCTGATTTAATAAATTTAACCTCATCGTTTGGGAGAAATTTGACCCATTCTTAATTTTAGTATGCGGGAACTTGAATAATTTTTTCCCAAGTATGTAAATAGAAATATGTCCAAATCGCTATTTCTTTAAAAATGCCCCCAAAAAATTTTGATTGAAGTTATATAATAGGTTTAATTAAAAAACTTACTTTCCTGGCAAATTTTACATATTCACACATAGCTAAACTTCATAAAAATCGAAAATAAAGCATCAAATACTTTATGTTACAAACGCAGTTATGGATGAACCTAAAGTTAAATCAAAGCTTTTCCTCCTTAAATTGTATATTAATTATGCCGAAAAGCAAGGATATGACCACAGAGATCGATCCATTGTGATTCTGACGAAAAAATATTTTTACATTTTGACCACAAAAACCACTGAATAAAATTTTAGCGAAATGAAGCTTGGAATTACCGCCTGTAGAAACTAATATTATTTAAAAGTTTGAATTAATAAAGTTATTTAATTGAGATAGTTTGAATTACGAAAAATCAAATTATTATGACATTTGAAACATTTTGTTATGTTCATAATAAATCCATAAAATCTGAAAAAGCGTTTGTAAGACTTATTTAAAATTTTTATCAATTTATCAATTTATTAATAAATTCTAACCTTCGTACATATCTAGCTCTTGAATTTGTTGAAATTATCAATGAGTCTTAGAAAAAGTACTGTAACAAAATATGTTGGCAATTATAATAAACGAACGAAATATATTATAAATTCTGTAGCCAAAGATATCGGCGAATACCTTGCGCTTTTTATTACCTCCCTTTTATTAGCTCGGGATGTAACTATGTAATATTGATGCGCCTAAAAGATGCAGCGATTTCTATTCTCAAGTTACATACCTGATAACATTATGAATGGAAATTATAATAGCGAGGTTTTAGTTTTTTAAACTATAATTTTATTGTAATTGATTGTTAAATTTTTAAGAAATTTGCGGGCGCGTCTTTGAACATGTATGACACACGGCGTATGAGTAACCTTCCGTTCTGGTCATATTTCATGCAAATAAGTAGGAATTTCATGCAAATGCACGAATGATGAGATTTCCTTTAAAATGTTATTCAATCGTAAGTGCGTATTTTTGCATAGTTTGCAGTAAATGCATGGTTTTCCTTATTTTGCAAGAAATGCTTGTTTTTATTTATTTACTGCGCATATTTTCGTATAATTTAAAATAAATGCATGTTGTTTTTTGCATATTTTTGCTTTGTTTGATTTACAAACATTTAAATTTAGTGCACCATTACTTGCCAACAAAATTACCTTTAATTTGATGAAGATTGTGCAGGAATTGATAAAACTTTGAAATTGTTGGACTGCCTAGAGCTTTAAAACGAAGATATAAATTAGCTTTGCCTCTTTTGACAAAAATAATCTAATTGCCAATGACTAAAATTGCCCTGGAATTAATACACTTTTTTTTAAATTTTTGTTGATTAAATTATTTATAAAAAAATATATAATACAAATTAAAAAAAAAATTGTCTAATAGCCGATGACTAATATTACTCTGCAAATCGTTCCCACGACAGTCGGGTCTACGTAACCGGAACGACCCAGATTTATATCTGGCCAAGGACTGCCACTCCAGCAACACTCCCCAAAAAGTCTTTGGGGAATTTGTATGCTGCTACAACAACAACAACATTACTCTGCAAATAATGAAGGTTTTTTTTTCAACTGGTTGGGTTTCTTCCCTTAGTTAAATTATTTACAAAAAAAAATATAAAATACAAAACAAAAATCCAATTGCCGATGACTAATATTACACTGGAAATAATGAAAGTGTTTTGGTTTTTTTTTAACTGGTTGAGTTTCTTACCTTAGTTAAAATATTTAAAAAAATAAATAGTAAAAATTAAAAAAATACACATACATACATATAAAAATAAAGAAAAAAGGAGGGTGTTTTATTCCTGTAACCTCTTCCTGGTAGGCCCGGATATTGCGAGGGTGGCAATTTGCAGGCTAATAAAAGTTTAAATTTTGAAAGAATTCTTAAAATCCCATTATCAATTTTAGCCAAATTCAATGAATTTTGTGTTTTTTTTACATAAAAGACACCACTTAAAATTATTCAACAACTTCCTTGAACTGTTAATACGTTTAAAGCCGTTAAAATATCAAAAAAAAATAAAAAATACGTGTCTTCTCGAATATTTTATAATTTTTGGACACCGACAGACCACAGATTTGTATACCTAGGATAATCAGCTCTACCACAAAATTATTTTTTTCCGATTATTTCGCATTTAGATAGTCAAGCAACAATTTTGGCCACTGTTTCAGTCTTTTGGTAAACTGTGTATTATAGCAAATGAGCGATATTAATAATTACTTACATATGTATATACATATGTATGTATATCCGTATATACGCCGAAATCTATCTGGAATTCTCTAAGTGGTTACAAACGATCGACATGTCAACAAGTTTCCTTGTTCCTTAGTATTGAGTTTATAAATTACCAATAATCATAAATTAAATGCAATAAAGAAATTATCTTCATATTAAATGGCTTCACTCGCCGCTAACAGATACCTATTTTCGGTCTCAATGACGCTCTGACTTCAGCCTAATATACATAGGTATGTACTCCCACATCTCAGATTTTCAATTCTTTTCGAGCACTGAAGCACAAATTAATTTATTTATCGATATTTTCACACGTGCATATGTACATACATATATACATATATGTGCAAGTGTGTATGCATATAATTAGCCACCGTCATTAAAAAGGATAGAAAAATTCAGCTATAAGCACATTTTTTGCAAGTATAGGGAATTTTTTGTTTGGTTTATGTAAAGGGATTTGAAATTTGAAAGATACCTTTGTGAAGTAGTCATTTTAAGGACTTAACGAAATAATAGCCCCGCGCTTATCACAATTTTTAAATTTTACCTTTTTTTTTTGTCACAAACTAGCCATATTTGATTATTAATCCCCTGTTCCTGCCTATA